AAGCCGGAAAAAAGCGGCAGCCATGTAAATGCAAATGCCGCGGGGGATATTTAAATCCCCCGCGGAATTTGCAATTGCGATGTGTCTCATTAGCATCCCTTTTCCGGAAAGGGATGCCAATGTAGACACAGTCTTCATGTTTGGTGCTGGGAGTGGGGGGACACAAGCTACGTCTAGACTGCAGGCTTCTTTCGGAAGAAGCTTTTCCGGAAGAGATCTTCCAGAAAAACTTCTTCCAAAAGAGAGCGTTCACACTGTCAAAGCACATCGAAAAAGCGATCTGCTTTTTCAAAGAGAGCGTCCACATTGAATGGACGCAGTAGCCACCAGGGCACCTGTGCTTCTTCCTCTTTCCTCTTCTTTCGAAAAAACATTCTCTTCCCCGTCCAAATGCCTTTTTCCGTGTGTCTTCTTCCTCACAGAATGAGGATTGCCAATGTCGGAAAAAAACCTCTGTTATTTTGATTTTCTTTTGGAAGAACATAATTACAGTGTGAACTTAATAGAAGTTTTTTTGGAAAAGCGACCATTTTTCTGAAAAAAAAACTCTGTAGGGTAGACATACCCACAGAAGTTGCTACATTCAATGCATCTTGATTCAATAGCCACAAAAGAGCAGGAGCCTTATCATTCACCCAGCATATTCCTTTGACTGCAGCTCCACAGGTTACAGAATAAATAAAGCCTAGAGATACTTTCTGAGTAGCAACACCACATGAGGGAGGGGGGAAAAAGCTACTTTAATGGCAAAATAAGAACAGCCATTCCTAAGTCCAGCCATATTATCAGCAACCGTTGGAACCATATAAATAACAATACATATATAAAATCCCTCAAGATTAAATGATTACTGTGCTGCTCTGTAGCCGAGATGATAGCATTAGTACATTGAAGCCATGTGGCTTTTCAATGCAATGGAATACAATTCCAAAGTTATAGTGGCCTTGCATGAGCCAAGACACAACAAGGGAACTAAGAGCAGATTGGCGTAACAGGAAAATGTCAATTACTGAAGTTTAAAATTGAAGGTTACCTCACAAAGCATACTCAGAAAATAGTTTACTGCCTTTGCACCAGTGGGCACTGAGTCACTAATTAAATGGTAGCAGAGCTCTGCACTGGCAAGTGGGCAAATTAAAAGGGTTGGAACTGACTGATGAAGAGTCACCTTTTACTATGGCAAAAGGTATATGAAAAGTGTGGCTTGCTTGGTCTTTCAAGTTTTTAAATTAGCATTCTGGTTTGACCTACTGCCTAAGGGTATGTCTACACTAGCCCCCTAGTTCGAACTAGGGTGGCTAATATAGGCATTCGAACTTGCAAATGTAGTTAGTCGAACTACACGCGGCAGTCAGAAGTTAATCCGAACTAAGGACTTAGTTCGGATTAACTGTTACCCCTCATTGCAGGAGGAATAACAGTTAATCCGAACTAAGGACTTAGTTCGGATTAACTTCTGACTGCCATGTGTAGCCACGGGCAGTCAGCTCGAGCTAAGGGGATTTAAAAATGGCGCCCGCCCGGGAACATGTGAATGAAGCTCAGGATATTCAAATCCCGGGCTTCATTTGCAACTCCGGTTGCCTACATTACCACCCTAGTTTGAACTAGGGTGGTAGTGTAGACATACCCTCAGAGGCTAGGCCATAAAGGTTCCCAGTCGGAAAGTGTGAGGGTGCACTGATTGTGAATGTGAACCAGAGGCGGATATAGGGCAGGGCAAGTGGGGCGGCTGGCCCAGGCCCCGCGCTTCAATAGGCCCCCGGCACCCAGTCGTAGAGCAATGCGGCGGAGCAGCCGGGCAACGAGGGCCCACACAGCTGCCTTGGTGCGGACGCAGGGCGACTGAGCCAGGCGGTTGCCCCCAGCCCCAGCCAGGAGGGACCCAGCCCACAAGCTGCGCAGCATCAGGCTGGCAGAGCGCTCTGCTTGGGCCACTCCTGGGGGTGGGAGGATGACAGTGGCAGGCTCGTTTGCTGTGTCCGAGCTCCCTTTCTCGGAAGGGCCAGTTTGGGCAGCCTCTATGGTCCCTCCTCTGGCCCCGGCTGGGGCCTGAGGTGCAGTCTCCTTTCCCTCCAGCCTGCCTCGGACACAGCAGCCAGCCCCATCTAAACCGGGTCAGGATTTCCCTGCTCCTCGGGCGCCTCGCTGCTCCAGTGTCTGAGGCTGGAGAAGGGGCTGATGCTGGGGAGAAGCCCTTTTTCCACCGGTTGTTAGAGACCCAGCTGCCAAAAGAGCTAGACAGCTATAACAGACTTAAATACGAATGAAAATGTTTAATTATTAATGCAGAATTTTGTTTAAGAATGAATTACAATGTAATTAAAATAAAAAATTATCCCACTAAATTAAGTTTCTATCAAATTTACCCAAATCACATGTAATATGAAAATAACCTTCAATTTGTGCATTTGATGCCTTTTTTCTATTTTTTCTCCAAAGGAGGGCCGTGAAATTGTGCTGCCCTGGGCCCCGCAAAACTCTCATCCGCCCCTGATGTGAACTCCTCTATAGAGTGACAATGTTAGCAAACAGTTCCTGCTAAAGAAAAGAGTCACGACAATAGCTTCCACATCTGGAAAGGAGACTTCACTTTTGAGAGGGGATTTCAGTAGACACAAGTTGTTACTGACTAGGCAGAGAAAGCAAGCACTGACTTACTGAACAAACCGACAGAAGGTGTCACCTGAAGGCAAGAGCTGATGGAACAGGTGTCCACCCGGACACTAAGGCTATGTCTAGCCTGTAGGGCTACGTCTAGACTGCAAGCCTCTTTCGAAAGATACTTCTTTCGAAAAAGAGCATCTAGACTACAAACAGTACTTTCAAAAAAGCAAGCTGCTTTTTTGAAAGAGACCACCTAGGCAGTCTGGATGCTCTCTTTCGAAAAAGCACAGTTTGCATTACATAGCGCCTTTTTTCGAAAGAGCACTTTCGAAAAAAGGCATTATTCCTCGTGAAATGAGGAGTACCACCAGCGAGAGAAAAGCCGTGTTCTTTCGATTTAATTTCAAAAGAACATGGCTGTAGTCTAGACGCAGGTGAAGTTTTTTCAAAAAAAGTAGCCTTTTTTCGAAAAAAAAAAACCCTGCAGTCTAGACACAGCCTAGGCTTTTTTTGGAAGAAGCTTTTCCAGAAGATAACTTTCAAAAAAACTTCTTCCAAAAGAGAGCATCCACAGTGCCAAAGCGCATCAAAAAAGTGATCTGCTTTTTCAAAAGATACCGTCCAGACTGAATGGACACTATCTCACATGTAAGCTGTGATTACTATGGGCGGAATGGCCACCAGGGCACCTCTGCTTTTTCCTCTTTCCTCTTCTTGCGAAAGAACTCCTTCTTCCCCATCCACGCACACCTTTTTCCGAAAGAGCTCTTTCAGAAAAAGGCTTCTTCCTGATAGAAAGATGTTTACCAATGTCAGAAAAACCTCTCTGTTCTTTCAATTTTCTTTCGAAAGAATGCAACTGCAGTGTGGACATAATTGAAGTTTTTTCGGAAAAATGACTGTTTTTCCGAAAAAAAAAACCTCTGTAGTGTAGACATACCCTGGCTGTCAGCACTAGTGATAGCAAAAGTATATTATTAATCTCACTTGAATAGAAAGGAATCATCATCCCTCTCTCCATCACAGATGCTGCCCCATGATCATGAACACTCCAAATTCATGCCAAGAATATGCTGCCCGAATCCCACGTTGTGCCTACCTAGGATCTCTACATAGCAGCAGCATAGCAGCAAAGCCATTGATCTGAGGGTCTTTCAAGTTCATGCTCCAAGTGAAGTTACTGTCACTGAGCATGATCCTTCATTTGTATCTTTCGAAGAGATCACTAAAGACAGTATAATGTCTGTCTACAACACTGGTGTTCACTCTTGGAACACTTTTTCCCCTTCCAGAATGCTTAGCAGTTTCATAAAACTCAATGTCTTTAAACCTCTGTTTTCTAAAGAAAATCTTGAAATTAGCAAGCAAGCGACTCCATTTCATTTCACCACGCTGTCAGTTATCAGCAAATTCCTCCATACCCCAAAATAGTGCACACAGCTTTCAGCATTTACAGATCAAATTAATAAACAGCGCCACATTGCCAAAGTGTTAGAAAAACAGTGAAGTTCCGCATACTATTGGGGGTTCCAGTAGTGACACTGCAAACCCAGGAGAGTAACAATGCATATTTCATCAGACTTTCCTAATAAGCAAGTTTTCTTTAGAAAACAGAGGTTTAAAAACATTGAGTTTTCCCCATTTGGATTTTTTATTCAAAGCCATGTCAGCACAAACATAAAATATTTGAATACGGACAGTGAAGTGGAGTCTCTTACTGGTGCAGGGCCAACTTTTAGTGTTAATGGGATACCAATTGTAGTGTTCTTAAGAGGAAACAAAAGGCTTACCAGTAGAAGCAGGTGCTCTGAGTACACAGATTTGAGAACAGAATTAAAATAATCAGCACAAACCATACAACTACAGGAAGAATGAATTTAAGCTTACCAGTAGTATGTCAGCCACAATGGCCCAGTTTAAGGATAAAAGGAATTCTCCAAGTGCAATAAAAATCTGAAAGAAACAATAACCAAAACATAGCAGCATTGTATGATTTTTCTGTACAATAAAGTGGCTAGATGAGTTCACTGAAGTGCAATTACACTTTGCTGTTGTAATGAGAGGTGTTGTATATGAAAATCTCTTTCTAAACCTTAACTAAGAATCCTAACACCTCCTGAGATATATTTAAATAGTGTCACATTTTAAAGATGGAGAAAAGGAGACACAGTGACTTGGCCAACATTACACATTGTCATTGGTAGAGTCAGGGACAGGAGTCATGAGACCTCACTTCCCAAAATCTCAGATGCACCAAACATAAAGGGTTTACGTGTAGTAAATGGGGAAAAGTATTTCAGAACTCAGGGTATGTCTGCACTTGCAGCCTATTTCGGAATAGGGCTGCAAATGTAGGCATTCGGAATTGCAAATCAAGCCCAAGATTTAAATATCCAGCACTTGATTTGCATCTTCCCAGCCGGGCACCTTTTTTTTTTTTTTTTTTTTTTTCCCACATCTACACACGGCAGTGAAATGGGTGTTCGAAATAAAGCCCTATTTTGAACTACCTGTTATTCCTCCTGCAATGAGGTTTAACAGGTAGTTCGAAATAGGGCTTTATTTCGAACGCCCATTTCACTGCCGCATGTAGACATGGGCAGTTATTCTGGGCTTGTAAATTTCAAAAATGGCGCCTGGCTGGAGCGATGCAAATCAAGCGCAGGATATTTAAATCCCGGGCTTCATTTGTAATTCCGAATGCCTACATTTGCAGCCCTATTCCGAAATAGGCTGCAAGTGCAGACATACCCTCAATTAAAAATCCCCAATAACAATACAATAAAATACAGCAAAGCAATAGTGCAGAGGGAGATCCCCACAGCGCGATGAGTTTTTAAATGAGCTCCACAGAGGCAAAGTTTGAGTACTCCATTCAGAGGGCTCTTCCCAAGAGCAAGGGAGGGACTGGCTCTTAGCCATAGCCGACCCAGGCTCCTTGAATTGCATTCCTTTTATGGTGCCCTGTGGGAATTCCCTAAGTCACTGCAGATGGGCCATGCCACACTTCCCACCATGGCTGGGTCCCTAATAAATCTTATATCTGCGGTCTTGGAAAGTATTAACCCTGTCCTTGACAGCCCCTAGTTATAGGTTTAAATCAGGTTGTGTGGACCAAGCAGCATCTGATGGAAGTACCACAAGATTAAAAAGTTAACCTGTAATAAACTATCTATTTGGAGCAATTTCAGAAGGCAGCTTCTGACTTCAGGACAGTGGCCACCGTTATGCTAACTGTAGCACTCTGGTCACTTAGGGAACATCCACACAGCAGCGTTATTTTAGAATAACAAAATGCGCATCTACACAGCAAGCCATTATTCTGAAATAATGTCGAGCTGAAGGACTTCTTATTGCAACTACTGTAACCCTCATTTCACAAGGAGTAAGGGAAGTCGAAGGAAACGTTCTTCCTGCGACTTCCTGTTGTGTAGACAGTGCCAAAAGCTGAGTTAAGCCAGCTCGACTTCAGTTATGTAATTGAGATAGCTGAAGTTGCATATCTTAATTCGACTTTTGCCCTGCAGTGCAGACGTGCCTTTAGGTAATGGCATAACAAAGAAGATTACAGTATTAATTGGAGGCAGTTAACCTGTTATGGGAGATCCTTGACACTTGGACGCAATGATTGGGCTAATGAGGTAATTAGCTGAATAAGGGAATCTATGTAATTGACAGGAAAGAAGGGCAGAGCTGAGAGATTGAGCTAGGTAGAAGGCTTCTTCTGACATATGCCTTGACGTGATGCTTGGTGATGCTAGGAATCTAAACACTGAAGATACTCCGTTGCTTTTCCCCTCCATGTGTATGTGTATATTGTGACTATTCAACAGTACAAATACGGCACTGTAACTTATGGGGTAGCTGCCTGGTCACACCTGTCCTTGCAGATTTGGATTGCAGTCTCTTTTCCAATTACAAATTCTGCTTTTATGGGTTGTGATAGCCCATAAACTGTACAGACATGTTTTCTGTGCTGCTGAGGAGCAAGAAATACTTTAATTATAGCACATTGGCCCAAATGAAACATGCCTGTTAATATGGGTAGCCATATCATACAACTTTGCCTATTTCAAGCCATCCAGCAATAACCACAAATAGTCTAGCACCCTGTGAACCATTTAAGTATATCAGCCCTTCTCTGCCTCAACCCAAACTACTATGCTTTCGTTAATTTCTCCCTAGACAGTCCTAACTGATCAGGTGCATCTACACAGCAGGGCTTAACTCGAAATAAGCTACGCAAATAAAACTATGTTAATTCCGTAGCTCAGGAGTTCTCAAACTTTGTGATACCGCGACTCCCCTCTAAGTTGCTTGTGATCCCCTGGGGGGTTGGGACTCATAGTTTGAGAAAGTCGGGTGTAGCTTATTTCGAAATAGCTTATTTCGAAATTGGGAGCATTTACACAGCACTTATTTCGAAATAGAGCACTCTTCCTCCGACCTCCCTTCCTCCTCGTGCAATGAGGGTTACAAGAGTCGGAGTAAGAAGTCCTCCAGCTTGACAGTATTTCAACATTATTTTGAAATAACTGCTAGCTGTGTAGAGGCAGACTAAATTATTTCAAAATAAGCATTATTTTGGAATAACAAAATGTGCATCTACACAGCAAGCCATTATTTTGAAATAATATTGCTGTGTAGACATACCCATCATGTGCTAAACATGTCCCTTACTTC